GACCAAATTTCGTTAAGGTTTTTCTTTACCAGAATCTTCTTTGCAGCGTTTCTTAACATATATTGTTCAGAGATACCAGCAGCCGCCCGTTCAATAATATCATCAGTGACGATGTTTTTTTATGACGTTTTGGTATATAGCTGTTGAATATCGGAGTTGACAGAAGTCCTCAAGATTCTGCGCACTGTCAGTTTACATTGATTATATATGTCAGAGGGGGAACAGAAATCAATTCCGAGTTGTAATTTAGGAAGCTTTAGATGACTAATGTTACGGCTGATTGGGATCTGGAGCCATTTCCGGATATATTTGGAAATTATAGAGTCCAGATTAGAATGTATCCAGCTTATAGTAAGCGAGTAGATTGAAAAACGCCAGAAGAACTTTGAGTAGACATAACTTTGAACCACGCGTATTTTGGAAAATGGATTTATTGGGATAAGATCAATTTTCTTTAAGTAGTGTTGGATTTCATCAAGAATCTCAATTTTGGTTTCAGTACAATCCATTTCAAAATTGAATTGTTTACCTAAATACATAAAACTTTCACCGTCCTCGATTGGGGGAACCTGTTGACCAGAGATTTTTATAGTAGGTTTATATTGGACTGCTTTTGTCCCAAACTTTTTGATCCCAAAAGTGTGGCACTTATTTACTCGGATATATAAGTCTGCCCAAGAGGACCATTTACTAAATGCATTGCACAGTAGTTGATTGTCTTCGTTATGTGCAGATATAATTGCAGCATCGTCCGCGAATTGGAACCAATGACGAGGGTTTAAGGATATATCATTAACATAACCAAGGCACTGTATCCTTTCATCGTTTATCGTGTTAATGAGTGAATTCACGCATAAATTGAAAAGCAAGGGGGACAAACAGTCTCCCTGCAGTACGCCCCGTTCTACAGATATCGGTATGGTTATAAAATTCTTCGTCAAGATTGAGATACCATAATCAGTGTAAAGGTTTTCTAATAATAATAATAATAATAATAATAATAATAATAATAATAATAATAATAATAATAATAATAATAATAATAATAATAATAATAATAATAATAATAATAATAATAATAATAATAATAATAAATCAATAATGCTTATGATATGGTCAGGCACTGGATGGTGAGAGATTCGTCCGCCAAGAGAGCTTCATCAGCCAATTAATGAAAGGATGGCAATCCCGATTGTAAACGCAGGATTAAGGACTGGTAAAAAGAGCAGGTGAATCAAGATCAAGAAAGGCTTCCTACAAAACGACAGTTATTCCCCAGTTGGGTATTGCCTCACAGAAGTGCCTGTATCAATGCTACTTGAAGAAACTACGGGATATGAAATGAGAACAACTGGTCATACAGAAACCAAAAGGACGCACAACCTCTTCATAGACGCTCTAAAAGTATCCTAAGAAGACCACCAGAGACTTAAAATGGCAAATGTTAATGATATCACTGTCAAACGAAGTATGGCACTGGAGCATGTTATGCCGTTACGAAATGTGTAAAGGTGATATGCAGAGCGGGGAAGATGGTCAAAGGAGAAGGATTGAATGTACTAGAAGAGTGAATGAAGGCGCTTGGTCCACAACAGAATGAAATTTACAAGTTTTTAGGATGTGAGCAATGTGACATGATTAAGGTAGGCAAGGTTATGGAACGAGTGAAGGAACTTCGGAGAAAGCTGAATCAACTTGTTAAGATACACCTTTAAGACAAAAACTTAATGAAAGCTATCAATTGCAGAGTAATACCGGCTGTTAGGTATGTGATGAATTTATTTAACCTTAGTAAAATAGAGATTGAAGATATAGACGGGATCGTTAAAGCGATCCTGGGAAGAGAGGGTCAATATGGGAGACAAGTAAGTGTCGAAAGATTATACATGAAGAGAAAAGAAGGAACAGGCCTAAAAAGCTTCAAAGATGTCTATAAGGAGACCAAAGTTAGAATAGCAAGTTACATGACATTATCACAGAACGAATGGATAAGGTCAGTATGAGAAAACGAGATGAGGAAGGAGCACACATCGGTAAAGGATGAAGGCGAGGAAGCGATGCAAAGTGATGGCGAAAATATGAGATTCGAAAGAGGTTACATCATCTGGAATAGTACAAGATATGATAATTGTAAGGATTCATGGAAAAAAGAGAAAAGAAACCTGAAGGAAGGATTACAAATTAATAGAAGAAAGCAATTTGAAGAAAAAGATTGCAGAGTGAGATACCAAAAACATACGGTGGTCAAGACATGGATGGTGGTAAAGTAACACTGATCCTAGGAAGACAGCAGCAATCTTTAATCCCTCATCTTATCTTTTTTGTTTATATAAAATAATGGCGAAAAGATCGCATATGCCCATAGTCGGGCGAGAAAAGTGGTTAAAGCGTGGTTCGCGCTTTTCATGCTTATGATTTGGAGCTTCTAGCTATTTTATTTAAATAACATTTAGGCCAATGCGAAGGTGCCCAAAACGACCTTACAAGTAAGGAGCCCACCGGGCTTTTGCCCTTTGAGCTCAACCTGCTAGTACGTCCTTCCCAGGGCACGGAAGAAGATGAGAGGACTTGTTGAACAAGATAACTGCGGACTGTGCGGAATGGAAAGAGAGACTTTTCATCACCTTGTAGTTGTAGCTGGATGAAGTAAATTGCAAGTACTGAGTACACCAGGGGGCACAACATCACCCTGATGACATTGGTGGTACAATGGCGAATACAGCATGAAATGTAACGAAAAGAAATGGTACAAAGAGAAGTGAGAAAGAGGAAACGTGATTGAAGGAAACGAAAGGAGGAAACATTGGGACGGGAACATCGGATGAGAACTACATGCACTGCGTGAACACCAGGCTTAACAATCGAGCATGACGAGACAAAGGAGATTAACATCACTGACATGGCGTGTCCAATCGAGGCGAATATGGCAGATAAACGACTCGAGAAGATCCGAAAGTATCGACAACTGGCATTCGAAATTAGATCATTCCTGTAATATATGTAAGTCTAAGAGGAGGAATCCACCTATTGAATGATGATGTACAGTAAAGTAAGTGAATAATTCGAATGAAAAGAACGAAAGGTGGTATGTAAAGAAATGCAAAATACTGTTCTCTGAGAGAGCGAATCCATCCTACGGAACGTTGTCTCAGGAGTAATCCCAACCTCCGTCGCAGGGACTTTCCCCCTGCTGGGAGTAATCCAAGCAGATTAAGACGTTTATATGCAGAATACGGTTACCAAAAATTGTTAAACATGATCCTTACTATAGGAAATTCAGCCAAGTTGTACAAGTTAGTTAATTAGAACATAATAATAATCTACTCTTAATTTGTAGATCACTGCAGTGAACTAAGTGTGCGCATGCTGAAAAACTCTCCATGAAATCATTGTATTAAAACGTCATAGTTTCTTCATTTCATGAGAAGTAAACAGCACATACTTACTGAATGCCTATTATCCGTCGAGTATTTTCCTGGATTGCAGTTACCATTCCTCATCAGACTAGAAAGTTCTTCAGTAATATATTTCAGCTGCGTCTTGTCTCTCTCGGAGACTGCGAAACAGAATTGATATAATTACATTATTACTGATAGTTAAATTCATCATTGGGGTAATATATCGAAGATTGCTGTAAGGTTTTGACTTTTAGCAGGTTTATAGTGCAAGACAACAAAAATGGCAAACGATACGATTTCGTTCCAAGAAAGAACCAATGGCCGTCTACATTTCCTCACGAAATGCCCAATATGGGTAGATTTAGTCGACATTGGCAACTGTTCTAGCCTTTTCACAGGCTGCAAAGGTTCGAACTTTTTGAAAATTCAAAATGTCACTCTATTGCCACGCTTGTGAGCCTCTGATTTACATTTGTTCAGGCCAACAAAGAGCCTACTGTTTGCTTAATATGAATTACTTAGCTTTTTTCCAAAAAACATTTTGGGGGTATTTGCGCGCTAAAAAATTACTATAACCGCACAGACTTCTAAAGAAACACACAGCCATCTTGTTATTAGGCATGCACAATGCGCATTTGGCAATCAGTCAGTGCGATCTGATTGGTTTTGAGCAACCAATACGCGAGTTTGTTTTTTACAAACTCTTAATACGTAATAGGATAGCTTCTTGTCAACTCTGGATAAAACAAACACTCTTGAGTTTTCCAAAGACTCATGCTATTTTGATGCTTTTTCAAAAAGTCACTCCTGCATGTTTTTTTATCCAAATTGAACTCGAAACCACCTTATTACCTATAATTATCCCTTTTCTTCATAACGCAATCCTATAATGTTAACCCTAGTCCATTGTTCGAAAGACTAATATGTGTAGTAAACCAATTTATAATACATACGTAGTGCAGGCTTCCAGTGAAATTTGGATTTTAATTCCTCGTTCTTCTGATAAGGTTTCCGGCTTCTCAATTCCAAGCGAATATTAGTTACACCACATGAAAGTTTCTTGCAAATTTCTAAAAATTAATTGATACAACGTATTTGTAACTGGATAGCACTACTATATTATATTAGAATTATCCAAAAGGTCATTGCTGAAAATAACCATGCAATCATAGTGGTAAAGGCGGTAGGCTAATAACACGGGAATGAGTATGACTCCCTATAGATTGTGACAGGGGAAATGAATATGACACATTGCGCGTTTCCTACCATGCCCTGGAAGATAGAAAATACGGAGTGTAGTTAAAATTAAATACTAAGATTCTTAGATGCTACTTTTTTGACAGAGTTTAATTAGAATTTAATGTGAACACTTCTTGGCATACTCCGTGGGTTTTTTTATAAGCCCAACAAAAAATCGATTCCTTAGAGTAGATTAAATACTTTTTGATAGGATCCATACTGACGCACCATACTCCTCGTCTTCTCGCCATTTTTCTGTGCCCTTCCTGGAATGTGTTGTCGCTCTCGCGAAGCTTTAAAAATTTATATAGCGCATTCATGCATATAGCCTATACATGTGCTTCAATTATCTTAGAGGCACATGATAATTTTTATTTTTCCCCTGAATCGTATATAGCTTAAAAGATTGTCAGTTTTACACTTACTTCTTGTATTAATAACATTACTCCAGTTGCTATATGGTGACGACTTATTCAGTTTTATAGTGATTACTCGGAATTGATAACCAGTATTCGGTTCAAGATCTTTAACGGCATATATTGTCAGGTTGGTCTATATTGGATAGAATGCATTATCATATCCGAATTATTACAGAAATTATACATACATGAAAAAGGAGTTTGTCGATCGTTAAGGTAAACGCGGAATCTCAGATGGTCCGATGTTTAAAGATGGTAAGCCTCATTTATTATTTTGCAATGGACCATGTCTCCCAAAAACTATTCAATTACTTTTTGAATATTTCTTTCAGGATGTGCTTGGTCTTGTGCATGTCCACTCTTTAATTTCCGCACCATTTCTTTAAATACCTTGTTTCATTTAGTCTAATTATTTTTAAGTAGGTACTGAATGAAGAGGTGGAATGCAAAATACTGCGATCGCGAAATTAATTTGGTTCATTATTCTTTCAGGATGGGTAAGAAATCGAAATCCACTTACATAGTGGTATTTCCTGGTGTAAGGAAATACAACAAAGAGATTTCTATCTTGAGTGCCCCAATGTGGCTTGACTTCCAAAATATAATGAAGATTACTGTATCCCTCTAATTTTGACGTATTAAACCGTAATTGTATCGTTTGCCATCCAGCTTCAACCAGTCGTGGTACTGCAGGCTTTGGTAAAGTTCTTTCATAATCTTTCGCAATATAAATTTTTTTAATAAACGTTAGTCATTGATAATCAATTAAAACATGAAACAACCAATTCGTCCGACAAAATACACGTAAAGAAGGTCTACATTTGGTTTTCTATGTTAATGTCCCAAAATGATGTCACAATTAATAGAACAAGTAAATTTACGTTACTATTTGGCAATGGGTAAAAATAAAGTTTGTTTGTTCGCTTCTCCGGCCTCTGCACACTTTTAGTTACTAAGAATCATTAGTATAAATTTCCAGGTGACTATTGATTTTTCTGCATTCTGATTGGTCAAGATTCACTGTCTCTGAAGTGATAGTCACTGGTCAGTGACTATAGCTTTTTTTCAAAATGGCTGCTCGTTTTGCCGTAGTAACAGAAGAGGAAATTGCCAAAATTAAAGAAGATAGCATTCCGAAAAAACCCAAACAAGCTACAAAATATGGTTTAAAAATATTTCAAGGTAAAATAGTAAACTTTACGTGCTTTTATTTGGAGAAAAACTGGCTTAGTCGCAACGCGAAACAGAGCCGTGCCTGAGATTTAAATTTTGTAAACAAACTATTTATAGTGAAAATAAATTTATTTGAAGTGAATTTTTATAAAGTTGTGTGGATTATTGTTTGTAAACACCTGGAAATTTATACTAAAACAATTAGTCGCCTCAGGCTCGGTGATTACAAGCCTATATTCACTTCGCCTTCGGCTCAGTGAATATAGGCTTGTAATCACCTCGCCTTCGGCGACTAATTGTTAAATATGCTTTACCAGGTATCCAATATTATCATGCGAGAAAAATACTGTAAAGGGATATGGTTAGCTAATTTACTCATAAATTACTAATGCGTTTGAGATTAAAGAGTTTGGATTATAAGAGTTATAAGAATAGCCAGGAAAGCATTGGACTGAAGACTTTAAGGTTACAGGACACCCCTTTTGGCGTTTTGCGGAAAATCGCTACTGCGCGCTCAATATCAGTCCGATTTTCATCAAATTTTCACCAAATGTTCTCCAGTGCATGCAAAATATGGTAAAGTTGTAAAATTAACAAACAATAAAATAATGTGAGCATTATTCAAGAAAATCTTAAATCGCTGTACCGTTACGCTTTTGAGTTGTGCTCCTGCTGGTTTTAAGTTATATTTATGAAAATATCATTTTTGTATAGGTAATCACACGGGAAGGAGTGCAATTAATGATTAACACACCGAGTGATATTTGAAAAATGTGCCAAAATTGCACGAGCCGCCGAGGCGAGTGCAATTTGGCACATTTTTCAAATATCACGAGTAGTGTTAATCATTAATTGCACGACTTGCCCGTGTGATCATTTATTTATTATATGCATGACAAAATCGCTTTCTTTATATTTCAACTGCATTTGTCAAGAGTTTTTAATTCTTTTGTAAGCAATTTGGTATAAACAAACTTGGGAAATGATTATAAACTCATAAAGGCACATAACTTAAACTAGACAAGATTCAAACTCAAACAACATATTTTAGACTAAGAAAATCTTTATAAATTGTATTTCAAACTTACATAGTCACGTTTCGCTGCATCCCGCCAAGATTATTTCTTAAGACTGTTTCCAGGTATTTTCCACATGCTCTCTTTGCCATACAATGTTTCTTAAACTCATTTTTGTGCCAAAATTCAGTTAAATTCGTCCACATTTGTTAGAAATACTTATCTAAATTTCGCCGCCATATTGGATTTTGTTGTTTTGATTCCCGCTCCCCCCAGCCATCACGAAAATCATTATTAAATTGCACTCCTGGAGATACCCTAGCCTGCATGGCAGGCGGTATTTCTACGGGCAGCGAAAATTAGGGAAGCAAAGGAAATACCGTCTGCCGCAAAACTAGGGGTTTTTGAATTACCCGTCCGCTGGTGAACGGGAAAAACGGATTGGTTAGTATTTTTATGTAGTTGTCAATCAACGGCTAAATTCGGTTAAATGTTAATCATTAACCAAATGTTTTGACGTTTTGAAACTCTGCGTTTTGAAATTAGTTCACGTCAAGTCAGACCAGAAGTGGAATAACATAATAAAAGAAGCAAATTAAAAGATACAAGCTGAAAAATAACACTCTAAATAGTGTTATTGATAGAGATTCGAACAAGAATATTTAACAAAGAAGATACGTCCGAAGGGGCCGAAGTTATGATCGGCGAAAGGTATGGGCTAGTCTATATTTTCGTTCAGACAATTACATGCGTATTAATTTGATAATATACTATCTCGCTTGACTTTCAAAGGCCATAAATCGCAATAATGTTGACATTTTACTAAAACTATCGATAGAAATTAGGAGATATTTCTTCACTGAATCGTCATGTTCTGAACCAAAGATACTTGATAGATATTAATATATACGAACCTCCAAAGTATAAACAAGGGGCCGGTTGATGCAGTAATTATCAAATAACAGTTAAACTCTTATATACCCGTTGAATATGTATAGTTGTAAACAAATAAAAACTATCGTTCTATAAGGTTCAATACTTTCAGTTTGGTTGTTGACTGATGATGAATCTATAGTATAGACTTTGCTTTGTATTTTGAGCTTATTAAACCACCGTTTTAAGGCAGCTAAACGGCTAAACGGGCTTGGTTTATATTAACACATAAAATAAATTCCTTGATTCTCATCACTAGACACAGTCTACACTTTGAAATGTCGAAGACAGTGGGAGATTTATTTTTTATATTTTATATTTATATAATTTATATATCAATAGTTCGTATCTCCACGAACAATGACAGAATGACTGAGTTTCTTTAAAATACAATGAAATTTCACTCAAAATTCTGTTTGTTTCAAATTGGAAGTTTAAAATGGCAATAAAAACTCTATATAAAATATGAAAAAATTAACTGTCTTGAATTATTTTGTCGGGCGGTACATTTATATTGTATAACGAAAAATAAAACGTTTTCACGAGGATTTTAAAATTCAGTCGGGCGGTGATGAGAATCAAGGAATTTATTTTATGTTGGGCAGTTGGGACTTGGGAGCAGCTTGGGAGTGGCTAATTTTGAATATTTACTTAATTAATGCATCTATAAATAGCGTTGATGCTTCAGGGGCGGTAGTTCATTTACACCCAGTTTTGCGGCAGGCGGTATTTCCTACGTACCGCCTGCCATGCAGGCTAAGGAAATACCCCAGTTTTGCGGCAGGCGGTATTTCCTACGTACCGCCTGCCATGCAGGCTAGAGATACCCTGGATTCCAGAGCCTTCGACAGTAAATAATAAATTAAAATGTCGCGAAGGCTCTGGTTCAACGGGGCGATTCTGTTTTGTGATTGGCGCGGCTTAATCAAAGAATCGCCCCGTTGAACCAGAGCCTTCGCGACATTTCAATTTATTATTTACTGTCGAAGGCTCTGGAATCCAGGGTATCCTGGAGAGTGCAATTAATGAAATAATTGCACTCCTCTTAACCAATCAGATTGCAGTAATTTTGTCATATATGTATATAATAAATACAGTAAAATAGTTGTTCTGAAAAATTGTGTTCGGAAATTTTTGTTTATTTCGTCATTCCGCTGATATGGCGATTTCTTTGACGACTGCAATATATTTTTAAATCGTTTGAGTGAATTGCTCTTTATTTTTAAAATATCCAAAATTAAGAAAAAGCCGAACACAATTTTGAAACTGACGTATTTAGCTATGTCCTGGGAAAATTTGAGAAAATTAGTTAAAACCCGCAGGAGCACAACTCGTTTGAAAATCAGTAATTACCGTAAAATTTTTCGGGAGAAAATTGAATTTGAATATTACATTTTCAATGTTTTTCTTGCAGCGAAATGTATTTTATTAAATAACTCTGCGAGTTTTCAACATTTTTCGTTCAAACTTGGTCAGATAGTAGAACTAAGCTAATGCTTTCATTAAAACCAATAAAAAAAATTGAGGCAAAATTAACACTCAAAGGTGTTCTGTAACCTTAAAAACGCGGCTGATTAATACATGTAATATATATTGCCTGCATGCAGAGGCCGCGAAAACACCTGGAAATGGGAGGGGCACTGAAGAGAAAGGGCGCTTGAGTCAGCAAACATTCTAAATATGTTAGATGCGTCCTTATAGAAGGTTTAGAGGTTTGGACGCATGCAATATATAGCCTTGGATGTTTATATATGTATTCCCTGATAGCTCTGTGTCCTAAACTAAACATGAATTACACTGATTAACCACAAATTTAATTTTTCAATTTTTTATTAAATAGGGCTTGTTCATATGAGCCGGGTTGGCCCGTTAAACCGGTCTAGCTCGGTTTGCCGGGCCAAGTTGTTATTTGTTTTACATGAGGCGAGCAAGCACTATAGAAACTCCCGCGCGATTTTTGGCGGGAACGTGATATCTGTTTTAATTTATTGACGGAAACTGTTTCAGAAGTTTTGATATATTGTTGATTTCTTACTTGTTTTGAATTCTTAGATGGTTTCTAGGTAGAATAAAGCATCCGTTATGACACAATTTCCAGCCCGGTTTGCCGAGCTGGCCGCTAATTGTACGTGGTTATATGAGCCCGGCAAGATTTCGCCTCGCTGAGACGGGTGCCCGGCAAACCGGGCCATCCCGGTTCTCATGTGAATCAAATCTCATGAACATATAAAAACAATATACGAGGCGATATCTGGACACCTGCGAGTCAGCCCGGTTTACCGGGCCAGCCCAGCTCATATGAACAGGCCCTTAATGCAATTTCATTCAATATTGCCAAAAAATCTAAGTCTCTGGTCGTTTTCGATAACAAAGTCCTTAGCAATCAAATTTAAGTCCAGTTCACCAGTTCTCTCCTTGTTTACTACGCGCATAATTTTCGATAAGAGAGGGCATATGTAGACTTCTTTTCTTAGCTTAAGGGGGCATTTATAATTCCTCTTTAATTGCTGGAAAAAAAGCACTTTTATTCCAAAAAAAGGCACATTTTCTCCTTGCGCAAAAAGTGGGGGCTGGCACTTTCCCCCAATGCCCCCCGGTTCCTCGGCCTCTGTATACTACACATAGATCTGATATTTTCTTTTCGAATTTCAATTTACCTTTTTTCACCAGTTCACCAAGAGAATCTTGTAAACATCTCATATCACAAACATATCCATAGTTTTTTCTCAGCTAAACCAGAACGAGAATAGAAAAATATATTGCAGACATAACTTTTTGGATTATTTCAATTATGCTGAACTCAAGTTTGTTTGTTCTTAAGGGGTTTATGAAACTTTATTTGCATGACCAAATTACAGATATGATTGTAATCATACATTACAATGTCTATGATAACGAAACCACTATAACTAGGAATATGGTGAGGTGCTATTTACAATTAGTATTTTTGCACAAGTGAACATAACAAATCCTATACGTTGATTGGTCAAATTTGACGTAATAAGCTGTTATATTCACCTACAGGTGAATATAACAAAACAGAAATTTTCAAAATGGCGGCTACCCATTTTGTGGAAGTTTACTGACAAAGAAATAAGTGAAATCGACTGCCTGACGTTGCCATTAGTCCTGGGAAGCCGAGGCAGAAGTGATTTGATTGGTCGTTGGAAATAGAGTGGAGTATGAAAAGTGTATTCATCAAGTGGATGTTTATATTCTGGCAATATGGCTGCCTTCAAGGAGTGCGCGTTCGAACTACGAAGAAATAGAAACGTACAATGCTTGTTTTCTATGGATTAATGGAGATAATTTGCAAACAGAAGGAAAGAAAATAACAAAATGGACAATTATGAAGTAGAAGTAAGCAACAATATCAAAAAAGTCAAATATAGCTATTAAAAAGTTTCTTCATTTTAACATTTTCTTGTTAAGTTGTCTAACATTGCGCTCAAGTATAATTGTATAATTTCAAGCACACTGTAAATATAAAATATTTAATTCATATTTACGATAGTAAAGTTTTAATGGTGTAATATATTGTGTTTTATTATGCTTTTGGTATTGGCCACTTGACCTATAAATGGCCTTATTGGAATTATAGCATAAAGTTTTAGTATAAAGGTGTACTGTACTATAAACCTATATACTATATGTACATACAAGGTGTATTTTACTAATTGTGAAATTTCTCAATTGTGTTATCAGTGAGTAATTTTAATAGCTTTTAAATACAATTAATAAGCATATTTAATTGCATCAGGGGGAATACAGGGAAGACACTTGGGGGTGGGGAGTTCGCTTATTGTTTTATCTGCTGTATGTAAATGCATAAATAAAGCAGCCGGCTAGGAAAGGCTTTTACAGAACAGTAAATTAATGGTTTGGAAAATTTCAAATAAAAATACCCGGGGATAACAGGACTGGAGAAATGTACCTTGCCATTTTGTACCAGCTGCAGGGGACTTCACTGAATTTCACACACCAAATAAGTGAACGCCACCGGTATGGCTTAGGTGGGGGTCTCCAATTCTTGTGTCATATTGGTTGAGACCGTATCATGTGAAGATCATGAATTTACACTGTTTCCTGTCAACAGCTCATAATATAATACATATTCTGTCGACTTATCGCAGATCTTGTAAGAATTGAAATTATAAATAAACTATTATTGACAAAACTGAAACTGTGTATATGTATATGCGGGCTTCTAGGCAGGAGACGCCCTACCACGTCTGTATAAAAATGGATTTTAAACAAACCATTACAAAAATGACATAAAAGTTGCTTTGGATACCTTAATCTGAAATTCTGGTTATAAGCCTTCTGCTAGCTATGTTGAACTGGAAAACTATTTTCATATTTCTAATGTCGATATGTATAGCAATATATTGACAGAATTGTAATCCCCATTATCATCACTCAGGTATACAGTCTGTTGTGGTGGACTGATTTAGATTGGACACCTGGATAGATACTAGGAAATTCTTAGTGACACTTCTAGATAATGGGGTGGAGGGAGTGGAGGGGGTGGAGGGATTGTAGGGGGGAGGGCAATGAACTCCCTGATGTGAAATTGTAAGGAATTTAAAAATTGACATTATGTAAGGGACTTAAATTTGCTTCCATTACCCGCCCCCATTGGCTATTCCATTAGCCCCAAATGATTTGAACCCATCTGAAACAGAAGGCACACTTGCATGTAGAATATACATAGGGATGCAGGAAATATTGTTGTTATACTATAGTCTGAAAACTACAATTTTATTAGCATGTATTGAACCATGCATGTAGTTTTGACTGTCAGATGTAATCAGCATACGCATTAATGGCCAAAGACATATTAGGTTAATAATTTTGCACAATTACTATTTTTTCGTCATTTGCGACACATGTAATCGGTGAAGGATTCAGGATTATCCGGCATGGAAATAAAGTTTTAAACGTTCTATATAAAACGGTTTTCAATATTCATAGACATGGTGGGTGGTCATATTGCCAAACATCTTGCGCCTTTTTGCTCAAATTTACGCAAACGTGATTAGTTTTGGTTTGCATGGGAAACTGCTTAAATGTACAATTATGTACCTGATTTTGTATACATATATAGATTTCGAGTGTGAAACATCTAGCAATTGAAATCCAAAACTCATGGAGTCATGCACGACATCTATCTATAATTTATATTCAAGGGTGGGTTGTAGCGAAGTAGTTGTAGTTCGCTACTGTAGCGAATTGCAATTTTCAAGTAGCCAGTAGTTTTTGACTACTTTTTTAAAACAGTAGCTGTAGTTATAGCGAACTACATTTTGCTTAAAAGTAGCCAAGTAGTTGACTACTTTTCAAACAGCGAATCGCTATTCGCTACTTTTTAAAATTGTTAGCAAGTTGATAGAATAGCATGATATTGAGACACGGTTTGTTTAAAATCAATACTCATTTGCACTCCTAAACACTGTATAGTGCTTACAAAAATGTTGCTTTGTGTTTACTGTTGCGACTCGTAAGTCGATTTGTTATAGATTACATTACTGCCTGAGTTAGTAGATGCTCCAAATATAGTAAAACTAAAAAATATAGTGTAGCGAAATAGCGAAATAGTTCGCTACAATTTTTAAGCAGTAGCTGTAGTCAGTAGCGAACTACCTTTGTTCAAAAGTAGCAGTAGTTGTAGCTGCACGACTACATATTTTTGAAGTAGCTCTAGTTATAGCGAACTACAAAAATTTTGTAGTCAACCCATTCTTGTTTATATTTTCGTGAAATGTTAGATGATTCGTTGTTATCTACAGTTGTGTGAAAAGTCGAAAAGTTAAGTGAAGAAAACACTAGTTAACGCTAAAGAGTGGCTAAAGTGTTTGAATAAAAAGCAGGTGTCCTGGCTATATAAATGTAGCCAGGACAACTGATTTTTGTTCAAACACTTTTCCATTAAAATAACATACGCACTTTCTTCACCTAACATGCCGAATCAGCCGAAAGGAAAGCGCAGTTTTATTAATTATTCCATATTCGTTATGGCAGAAACAAATCCTCGGAAAAATGCATCTGACAATAGCATATATTCTTGTCGTTGTTGTAACTCAGTATTCAACAGATACACACCGCCGTTTATAGACGTGTCGCTCTTGTTCCTTACAACAGACGATGAAGCTTCATATTGCATGTTTCTCTTTAATAATTAATAATAATATAATTTAATATAATTTAATAAAAATAAATAATAATTTCCAGGGTGTGGGGGTGCAACACCCCCTAATAATTGCTCATGGGCAATTTCAAGATTTAGATTTAGAAAGTAGATTTCCAGTATATTTTTTGGTTAATTCAGGTAATTCTCAGGGCATAAGAATGTGAACTGGGAAAAATGACTATATCTGTGGAAAAAGTTTTTGTATCTTGGTAAAAATTCGGATATGTCGGAAAAAATGTTTAGTATTTTCGAAAAAAATTAAATTAAGATATCTCCGGAAAAAGTTTTTATATTTTCAGAAAAATTATATGTCGGGAAACATTTTAGTATGTTCGCAAAAATTATGATATGTGTTTATATTAGCGATTCAAATGTTGTCGGCACGCAGGCGTCGCAAATCAGGTAAAAACATAAAGTTGGAAAAATTCAGGTAAATCTAACCTCACTCCCCCCCCCAAAGGCGAAGTCCTGGCAACGGCCCTGCCCATGATGTTTCGAATTACAGCATAAGCACTTCGAACACATTTCGACTCGATCGTGTTACATCATACATGTAATATGAGACCGAAATGTGGTTGTATTTTGACGAATATTAACGATAATAACGAAATATAAAGCCCCGATATGTATAATTCCATTAGGTGGTCTGTACATATTCACTTGATGGTGGAAATTACATTAAAACAAAAGAAAAATCCAATATTTTCAGTTCATCAACACGTCTGCACTCCTAAGCAAAAATTAATGCATAGTCATAGCTGCAGCTGAGCACGTTTACTTCCAGAAAACACCGAGATTTGTGGTGTTCCGGTTTGGCTTGTCCCAGGGCTTATGGCAACGTCGGGCTGAGGAGGAGGAGGTCAATCATACGGCGCAGGAATGTTCAAAACCGGGCGAACTCCTTTACAAGCGTGGTGAAGGTGACCAATCAAAGACTCCAACTCCCGACGATGGCACGTGCGCTTGTTGGACCAAGAACGGAGCAAGGCCACGATACGAGCAAATTTGTCTGCCGGTAAACGAGCGAGTTGGGTAACCGAGTTGAGCTCGATGCCTAAAAAGACTAAACACGTTGCTGGCTCCTCGCACTTTTCGTGGTGAAGCGGAAGACTAAGACGGGCAAAAACGGTAAAAGCTGTTGCCACTTTCGATTGCGAAACTGGGTATGATGGTGGGTAAGAAAGTAAGAAACCGAGAGTAAGAAAAACGTCTAGGTAGTGAAACAGCGGTAAAACGTGATAGTTGTGGGAGAGAATCCATTCAACTGCCGAAGTTACCGAGTCAAAGACAAACGGGGCGGATCTCAGGCCTAACGGGAGCACCAAATCAACATAATAGTTGCCCCGTAAGCATGCCGAGAAGATGACGATCTGAATTCCTGTTAACACGTAGTCTTTGTGGGGATTCGGATAGTCACGAAGCTCGCGAATGAAAGTCTCGAGGTTAAGGGGGGAGACTTAACGGATAGAAAACGACGACAAGGGTGCAATGGTGAGACCTACCCAAAACACAAGGGAGAGCTGGAACAATACGTGACAAGCACATGAAGCGAGGAGGGAATATTAAACACCATAAATACAGGGGAATAATTTATTTTATTTTATTTAAACACTACCTACATTTACGGGATACTAACTCACATCCGAGTGAGACACATAAAAATCTAAATATGTCGGTAGAGTACACACATGCCTCTGACGAAGCCTAACTAACGACGGGACGGACGATTCGGAACGGATACCGAGGGGCTGCCGACCGTTGCTACAGTGCGGGGTGAGAACGATTCAGGGGCTGAAGAAAACGGGCATTCGACACGTCGATGACAACCCCCACAACCGAGGCGATCACAGTGCCCATATCTGCATTGGCGGCCGAAGGAAGTGCACCGCCCAGAGTTCCATGAAGAGCCTGCACTGATGGCATACAATTTTGAATACCTGCGTCCGAATGAATATCTGGACGCGAAATTCTCATTAGTCAGATGCTACAATTTATATGTTTCCGCTAAGCTCTATATTTGCCAACTGCTGAAGCACTATGCAGTGACGTAGCTAGCAAAATTATTGCCCCCCCCCCTGGGAAAATTCAAAGTTAGACTGCATGGTTAAAACACCAACCGAGGGCATTTTCCTTTTTTCTTGGTTAAAACACGCACGCTAAATTTCTGTGGTCAAATTTTTCTGTGTTTGGAAATCCCAAATCTGGCATCCTCTTGATCGAAGGCACAGTATTCCGATCAATTTCCAAGTAAACGAGTGTACTATCATGTGTCTCACCACATGGTCTCGTAAAATGTAAATTTGGCGTGTGGATGTAAATTTTGTATGTTTGCTTTAATATTTCGACGATATGTTATATGGGACCATCCTCAGCTTCTTCTCAGTCGCAACCATGCATTATCAAGGCCATTGCTCGAAATTGAGTTACCCGAAAAAGAAGCAAGGCAAACGAGAAAGATCCTTTCAACGCTTTTGGTATGACTCGTTTTCTTGGCTGGAGTATTTTGAAAATGCCGATGCATGTTTTTGTTATGCACGTTTTGTTGCCACAAAGTTGCAGAAGTATCCTCTGAGCAACTCAGAAGGGAGTGTAACGTTTTTCGTAGTGTGATGAAGGAGTTTGGCGACAAACAAGATAAGTTACATGAGAAAGCACTCGAGGAGAATTTGAAACAAGAAGCAATGGGAAAAAAGGTGGAAAAGTCTGAGAAGGAAGACAAGATGACACAGATGACGCGATTTGTTTTAACATTGGCTGGGACTGAAATCATAAAACAGATTTATCTTGTTGCAGTCACCGCTGGGTATTTCAGCTCAGTCATCGAATGTGGGTTTTCTGCCCGTAAAAGAGTTGACACGTGCCATAGAAGGAGGATGACACCCTATCACCAGTAAAATTGATTTTGCTACATTTTGAGAACACACTGACAAGAAATATTACTTTTGAATAGTTTTTTTGTCAAATGGAACAGTAAACCTAGACGACTTGTAGTATCTCAATGATCGTTAACAAAGATTAAACATATACAGATAGACTGGCCGTATACTCGCATAGACCTTTTAATGAGTCTGCCTTGTGACGTAGAAAACCATGCAAAAACAAGCTATGATAAACATATAGAAAGTGTTTCCAGCTTTTAACATTTTCAGCAACTAAGGAGAGTTTGGTAAATTAACTTACCATTATTCGGGGCACTCCTCTTTGATTATCAAAGTAACAACAAGCAAATTGGTCGTGCAGGGTTTTACTTTATCGGCAAACCACGTCAAAAGGCAAACTTACGAATAGGTTAATGTGTCACTGAGTGGCTAATTGTGAATATTTTATTCCTTATATACCTTTGTTATACCTTTTATTCAATTTAACTTTTGTTGTATTTGCAGTTTTACAATTAAACAAAACTTATTGGGTGCGCCTATGTGTACGTACTTTCTTTCCTTCTTTTCAGTTTTCATCTTGTTTGAGGTAACCCCCCCCCCCCTGATTTTTTTGGGTCCCCCTTGGCCGGAAATCCTGGCTACGCCACTGGCACTATGCAGAAAAACCACATTAATTGATCAAATCGGACTTAAAAATGGACATTATAAAGCTCAACGTTCATGTGTGACAAGTTCGAGAACCCACGGACTGCAGCACCGCGGTGAAACGCCTCGTCATAGTTCCGCCAGGTGTCGCCACCGAAACGAACAGACGTACGAAAGATCAGCAGTTCGTACAGCAACAGATCGCGCGCCCGATGTGGAAACGATGCCACGAGCACAAACACATAGAAAACTGCTCCTTAAAAACATATACTAGAAACTGCTCCTTAAGACATACACTTTATATTGGGAAATAATTTGTTCATCTCAAAATACGGAATTCGAAGCAGTTCCGATGTATAAGTTTGCGCAAAAGTTGCATTTGTATACATTTGTTTAGCCTCCGAACATTCTCATACCTTCCTCGCCTTCCCAATAATGTAACAGTTCCAAAAAAATGGTTAGCAGAAAAAACGAGGCCAAAAACTCCAATAAAACGCTCAAAAATCAAATTACTATATTTACTCGCCCCAAGTCTCTTTTATCTATTTATCTATTTATCTATTTGTCTACTTGTCTACTTGTCTACTTGTCTACCTGTCTACCTGTCTACCTGTCTGCCTGTCTACCTGTCTACCTGTCTACTTGTCTACTTGTCTACTTATTTATTTATTAAAACATATTTTAACACGGTAGTTAATCAACTAAAAAAAATATTTACAAGGTTGTCGTTGCTTTTCATTAGGCCGTGTACTCACAGACAGTATAAGATATTCCCACCCATCCTCCTCAAATTAACCACCCTAATAATATTAGAAAGGTATTCAATGTTTATTATTATCACTTGAACCCCACCCGGATACGATTATATTAAAACCATTCAGTAGTTTTTACTTCTTTCATCCCAAATTTTAGCAGCAGCATAACCGAAAGTTTGTTTCATTGAATTTGTTTTTGGCTTCGACAACATCAGCTTATTTTTTTTACATCTTAATTCATGTCGATCTGAATACTCTGAATTAGATAGTTCAAACATGTCCGATATATTCTCGGGACATTGGCATGTAAGTGCTTTTGATATATATTTTAGTTGTTGCTCCTTCCTTCTTTCACCTAACGTTTTCCAATCTAGTTTCTTTAAAATATCTATGGAGCGTATTTCATATGAGTCGCCAGTAATAACTTTTGCAGCTCGGTTTTGTAGTTCCTGTAGCTTGCCTCTTAAAGATTCGCCGTAGTTACCCCAAATCATCGAGCAAGAATCAAAGTGTGGTTGGACTAAAGCTCGATAAAGATGTTTAAGAGTTTCCGTTGAAACTTATGCTTTACACGACGCAATATGCCAATGCCCTTCGAAGCTTTTTACTGATGTTATCAATCTATTTGTCCCAGCACAGATGTTTGTCAACCAAAACGCCTAAGGTCTTTTTTGTTTCCACCTCTTTTAACACTTTCCCATCAATAGAAACACTAATGTTTTGAGAAAGATTACTTAACCTTTGACGTGTTCCAATGATCATGTATTCTCAACATTTAGTGTTAATTTGTTTGAAAGAAGCCATTGTGAATATTTTCTAATTCATTATTTAAGGAGTCTTCCACATTATACACAGACTGGATGAACGGCGCTGTAATATTTGTGTCGTCAGCATACATTGCAGCATGTGAGTTCTCCAAACAGTTAGGGAGATCATTAACATATATAAAGCAAAAATAGAAGAGGACCAAGGTTTGATCCTTGTGGAACCCCAAAATTTACCTTCTTAGAGGACGATGTTGAATTATTGATCACGCAGAATTGTTTTCTATTATGCAAATACGATATAAACCAGTCAAGGCATTTGTTTTGAATTCCGTAAATAAATAACTTTTTTATACGGATTTTATGATCAACTGTGTCAAATGCTTTGCATAGATCAAGGAAAAGGATACCGTTTATCATCTCGGCATCCATATCCAGTAACCATGAATCAGTATTTTCTAAAAGAGCCGTTGTAGTAGAATGATCTTTTCGAAACCCAGACTGACATGGGGTCCGGATATTGTTTTCAGTTAAAATCTTATTGAGTTGTAAACAAACAAGTTTCTCAAAAAGTTTCGCAATTATCGAGAGTATAGAAATAGGTCGATAATTACCTCGCTCCTTTCTTCCACCGGATTTATAAATTGGACTTACTCTTGGTATTTTAACATCATCAGGAAAAATTCCATTACTTAAAGAGGCATTAAATATCAATGTTAAAAATGGGGCGACGACGTCTTTTGAGTACTTTATAAGTTTGACTGGAATATTATCAGGTCCCACAGATTAATTTCATAAAAAACCTCCTGAATATGGATGTCTGAGAAATAAAACTTCTTTTGAGCGCTAAAATTCGTGTATGTCTCAAAATTGACATTAGTTTCCGAGATTAGGCTCGACAAAGTAGGTCCAATGTCAATAAAATATTCATTCAATAGATTTGCTATGCTCGAATTTCAACGACTGCTTGATCTTCAATTTGCAATGATGAAATATTTGAAGATTTAGATTTTTTATTAATCAAATGATTAATATTTTTCCACATCAGTTTAATTTATATTATTCTTATTTCTATCAATGCAACCTGTATAGTAATGTCGGCGCTTTGCATATATTATTTGTTTATTAATCTTATTTCGCATGTCCTTGTAGGCATCGTGATATGCACTTGAATTTGATTGAATAGCTTTTTTCTTAAGGGAATCTCTACGATTCATATTTTTCTTAATCTCATCTGTGAGCCACGGAGCTTTTTGACTTCTTACTTTACGGTTTTTAATTGGTGCATGAACATCAGCAACACAATTAAATGTTGTTTTAAAGAGCTCCCATAGTCTATTTGGATCGTCAATATCCCAATCTATGTCTGAAAAAGCGATATTTAGATCATAATTGAATTAACATGTTAATTGAATCAAGAAAAAAAACTGTCACTAATTGATATATGACCAATCTTATCAAATGTTTGCGAATATATTAGGCGCTATTATGGGGTAGAGGGCGAGGGTGGGAGAAGCTATGGGTGGTGGAGTGTGGAGTGTGGTGGTGGCGTAAGGTGGCGCATCATCATTAGCATAGAATGAGGTGGCGTATCATCATTAGCATAGAATGAGGTGGCGCATCATCATTAACATAGAATGAGGTGGAGTGTGGAGTGTGGAGGTAATTATGGTAATTACTTGCATGCACGTAATTACCTAGGTAATTACTATGCAAGGGGGCCGAGTTTTCAACCCGCATTTTTGTGGAGTGTGGAGTGTGGAGGTGGCGTGAGGTGGCGCATCATATTAGCATAGAATGAGGTGGCGCATCACATTAACATAGAATTAGGTGGCGCATCATTAAAAATTCTGCTCGCTGTTAATGGTGATGCTATGCGTTGCTGCTGGGTACAGAAACATCTTGAGATATGTCCGTATTTTTGATAAATTTTAAGGGAATATAATTACTTCACACAGAATGTGATTTAGTATTAATAGCGAGTGCGATGATTTACCATTGCAAATAATATAAAATTTCTCAAAGATATTGCACACTGCTTATGTTACTTTAAACGAAATAAAAAAACGATGGTTTTAGAAGCATATTTTCAAAGTAAAGTTTTAAATATATAGATTTTATTGATAGAAACATAAATATTCTGATGGCATCGTTGTCAGGTAATCCCCACGCGTAAAACACAAAGGTTGAGGGAATACGAATTTGCATAACCAATAGGATCCTGATGGATATAAATGGATATTATTACGGGCGGTCATGGGCATGTTCAGCATTATTTAGCAAACCTCCTACATACATATATATTGTTAAGATGACCGATTCAAGAGTCAGATCGCAAGAAAGCTTATATATCATCATTGCTTCAATTTCTATTGTCTTCTGTAGGTCGATATCATGTGAATCCGCTCAGTGGATGGGCAACTGTCTAAAAGCAGGGGGCGGTTTGAATATCTCCAGGGGAGTGCGGGGCTAAAATAACCTGCCCAAATACAGGGTCGATATAAATTAATCAACCTCATTAATATATTCATGAGGTTGATTAATAAATAGCAACCTCTAAATGGGGTTGATTAATACATATAACCAGTCAAATTATTATGAACAAGAAACTATCCAATTTTCTTAAATTTTTCTGACAACACAACTATAAATCGATTTAATCACACAACGTCTAACAATAAATCTTACCCAATCACATCTTTGCAGTTTGAAAAGTTAAAAACACGCATTCGCTTTGATGACTTAGCTTTATCTACATTATCATCCTCATGACTGTCGTCACTCTCCTGTTGTTTGCAAGGCATCCTTTTCAGTTTTAAGCTAGGCTTTACATCTTCTTCATCAGTCTTGT